TTATCATAATAAAATAGAAATAAATATAATTTTTAACAATTGAATAACGCGTATTATTTTACGTTATAAGATATAATTTTACAGTTTAAATTCTTTTTAAAAACAGATATTCAATTGTTTAAAATAATTTTCCGCTTGTTTAACTTTTAAACAATTAGGAAATTATTCATTGTAGGTCTATAATTTTTTTTCAAATAATAAAGCGTAATTCATCAACGATACATCGTTATTAGTTAATACTTTAAAAAATATATATAAATTACAAAATACTTTCAGAATTATTTTCGAATATTTGAATTTTAATGCATTTCAAAAACATACGTTTACAGACTTTCTTGTTAATAGTCATAATTTAGAAAAGACTTCTCAGAAGGACCATCTGGTAAGATTCGCAACAGAAGACTATTCTGTACGTAATTCGAAACCGTCTATACGCTGTACATCCATCATACAAATGATTAACATACTTTTAAACTGAATATACCATAAATCAGCATTTTAAAAAAATGAAAAGAATAATAGCGTTTTAAGGTTCTTTGTCATCATTATTGAGTAAAATAATTAATTAGTAATCAATCTCATCACTTTAGATTAAAATCTGTTCTTCTTCTCTTAACATCTTTCTTTTGTCTTTACACGAATATGCTTAAAAATACAATTATAACATGTAAATTATGAGTTGAACTTGGCATTATTTAAGTTAATTGTCCCGTAAGTGCCTTTATTATTAATTTCTCTGATTTTAAGTGTAAGGTGATACGTACTGTACACTTTCATAAATTGTTCTTTTTACTGTTGATTAATTATTAAATATTAACATTATCTTTCATTCTTTACTAATAATTTATTATTTAATTAATTTTAATTACATTATAAAGATAATAAACAAGTTTAATTCGATTCTATTTTCTGTCATGATTCAGATATACGCATTTGTTTTATAATGTTTAAAACTCTTACTACACATTTAAGAGGCTTAAAATGATCTAGTATGTCTTCTATTTGAATTATTATATGTATAATTCTTAATACTTAATTAAAATTATGTGATTAAATTCGATCATTAAGGATTTTCTATTTAATAGAGTCTAAAAAAAGATATTAGACCCTTTTAGGCCTCTTAAACTTTGATTTTCCACCTCCGTTTTAATACTTAAAATATTCAAGATGTTAAAAATGGAATTACCTAAATATCATGTAAAGAGGCTTCATTTGCATTCATAAATCTTAATCAAGATTCCACCATTTTGTGAATGGAAACCTCACTCCATCAACTATTAGGGGGAGAAAGAGAGAGAAGCAAATGACTTTGCACCCTATTTATTATCATTTTAGATAGTATGGGGTACTGTAGGGTATAAAATTTTCCATAAATGTAGAACTTATGAAGGGATATAAAGTGGTTCCTCATCAACCTTTTGAAGATTATAAGAGAATTTTCAATTTTCTAGTTTAACTTACACATTTATTAAAATAATCTTTTATTTATTTTTCTTTTTATTTGTTCAGAAAATTGTTTTTAAAAATTTTTTAAATATGAAACCAGTAGCGTACGAAAATATTGAAAAGTATTTTTCTTTGGTAAACACAATGATTAATTCAACATTTTCCTCTATATACTCCTCTACATTTTCTCTTATTGTTTTCTGTCTACAGGAGATAATATAGAGTAAAATATAGAATAGCCTATATAGAACGAAAGAGAGTGTTGGAGAATGTATAAAAATTAGGAAAAAGAGAAGAATATAGAGTATTTTTTTCTCTAAAATTTATGAAAAATATGAATAAAAATTTTTTAATACTTTATAAAAGAATTTATTTAAAATTGCATTATTATTTAATAGGTAGTACGAAAAACAATACTGGAAAACATGCGAAACGAAAAAAAGATAAAGTACCAGAAGAGATAATACAATCCAATGAAAACAGCAATTCTGGTTGCGAACAAGGAAATGATAAAATTAAGAAGAAGAAGGCAAGAACGACATTTACCGGACGCCAAATATTCGAACTGGAGAAACAATTCGAAGTCAAAAAGTATTTATCTTCAAGTGAAAGGGCAGATATGGCCAAATTATTAAATGTAACAGAAACTCAGGTAAGTATAGAAAATATAGTTGCATCTAAATCTGTTTGAGTTTCAGATAAGTTTTACCCAATTTAACTTGTTTCATCTATTACGCTTTAGAAGAAATTTCATTGTCGATTTTCTACGAATCAAATTCAAAGGATAAAAATCTTACAGCGATGAAATTGTCTATAAAGGCAATAGCAAAGAGAGGGGAGGGGGGAACAAACCAATTGTTTGGTATGTTACAAAAAGTTTTATTGATTGATACATAGATTTATTGATAGAATAAGTCTAAATCACTCGAAAGTTTTTTTTTTAACTTTTAAAAGCCTAAAATAAATTTTTGAGTTGTTTCTGCTTTATTAGACGACATTTAAGATTGTTAATTGTAAATTTATAAATGAATTTACAAAGTTTAATATATTACACGAATTAAATTATCGTTTTAAATTAGAAAAAGTACATTTTTTTAAAGATTTGTTCCGTGAATTATGGATATTTCTTTAACAATTAAAAATATGCCTTCGTTTATGTTAAAATATATAAATTTTAAGATATTTTAAATTATTTTACTGTTAAATTTAAACACAAATAAGGAATAAAAGACAAAATATAAAAATAATAACAACAATAAAACCTATTTTTTATTTAATTTATTTTATTAAAAATTAAATATAAAAGAAATCAACGTTGTCTTTAACACAAAGATGGCCGCCAGAGATGTCTTTACTCATTCCCGCATACGATTAATTCCATTAAAATATCCAAAATTAATCGCTCCGCGATGCGTATACCTCAAACAACTTCCACCATCACAACAGAGTAAGCAAAGCAATATTACTCCTCTAATTACACGTCCTGGTAATAGAACCATTCTTAAGCCAGTGACTGTGCACTGATCCTTTATTCGTGTTCAGATCGGACACTAATCACGTCCAATATCCACCCCGACAAATCGATTTGTAGGTCATAATTAAAGGCATTCTCGTTTCTCTTCCTCCCCTTCTCCATTTCGGTACAGTCTTCAATGAAAAAGTTTTTTTTCCTCCCTTCTTCCACTGGAATAGAAACGATGAGTCACGGCAACCCAACAGAAATGATTTAACGATTATCTTTTTACCAGATCATTTATTTAATTCCTACTTAGATTATTTCTTTCTTTTATTGGGATTTATTTTTGCTATAAAAAAAAAGTATAAAAAAATTCCTGACACGTATTTTATAAAAATCAATTCTTATAAAACGATACAAGAATGATTTATTTTTACTTAAAAGTCACTCAAATATTTATCGTATTATTATTGTACTGTACATTAAATATCAATAATTTTTGTAAATAATGTTTATATATTTTAAATTTATAATTGTAATGAATTATTCTTTGTTAAACTCTATTATTCTTGATCAAAATGTACTTAAATTTATGCTTAGATTTGCTTTTATTATTTAAAATTTACTTAAATATAATTTTAGTAAATTAAATTTAATAATACTGTCTTACTTTAATATTTACCTTTCAAACGACTAGAAAATTTAATGTTTACAAATAAGTGAACATTTAGAATTAGAGAATTTTTAAATGAATCATAGCAATAGGCAAAAGAAATTTAATGCCTCTGCCTATTTGCTGCAGCAATCCTTTCTCTTTTATAAATCCCAATTAAGGCAATTTTTCTTCTTCCCTCATCAAAGGGAGCGGCTCGATCATACAACTTATAGTCCTCAGGGAAGGAGGATTTACATACAGGGGGAAACCTGCTGACGTAATCTGGGATAGAAGGTTACAAAGGGGATTAATTCATGCATCTTTAATATCAAGCCCTGAAGGTTTTGAGAGTGAATAAAGGCAGAACAGTGAATGGGTAAAGTTTCTGGCATTCAACTAAGCGCAGTTGGTATGTAATAAATTGATCAAAAAAATTGATTCGATAAATACTTATGAAGATTATTTTTATAGCATTTATGTTCATTTACACTTTCGTTTGTACTGTACATCTCCCTTATCGTCCAGGTTATCTAATTTGTTGTATAATTTCCTCTTTAGTGAGCTTCATTTCTATTTTGCATTTAATTGATTTTTCTTTTACTGATAACAAACTCTTTCTTTTGCCAGAAATATAACTATTTTTATTTAAAAGATAATTTCTATTTCATATTCTAAACACCACTTACCATTTCAAAATGTTACAGCCTATATGAGGAAATATATATTACGGAATAGTCCAAAAGTCAGTTAACCTTTGTATGTAAATATTTAGAAACACGTTAATTTAAATATATTACTGTTTTTTTTAATAAATATTTTTCTAATTGTTGCGTATTTTTTTTATCACATTTATGCCAATTTTATGACTAAAACAACGTTATTCGAAATTTAGTTTACCATTTATATTCACAAGCGTACAGGATCTGGAAACACACGAAAGAAAATATAGTTAATTGACTTTTGGGCCACCCATAACATCGTTTGGCCGAACAGAATACAATGAATTGACCTTTGATCTACTCAGATAACTATTTGGGCCAAAAAATAAACGTGGTTAATTGAAGTTTGGGCTATCTGTATATATATATTTTTTATAGTACTTTCTTCTTTGTTGCATGATATATAATTTTAATGCTGTATCGTTATTACAGTATATTCCATTTACATACACCATTTACTCATTAAATACGCACGTTTTAAACGAAAGGTTAAGCGACACTCTACATAAAAAGTATTTTGAAAGAATTAAGCCTATGAATATAAAAATTGGAACAAAACAAAATATAATAATGCAAAATAATTGATTTGTACATGTACTGTATGTACGTGGAAATAAAATGGTATATGAAAATCACAAAATTATAATTAAAATTAATTGGGTTGCACACGGACTATTATAGATTTATATATCGTGAAAACTCTTTATTGATGGAAACAATAACGTGACTCCTGTTTGTGAAAAGTTTGTAAACAAATAACGTTTGACAAGATCAATATAAATTTTCTTTAGATGATATCTCTCCAAATTCTGTGAATTCTCTTTATTGCTTTACAATATATTTATTACACGTAGTTTTGTTTGCTAGTTTAACACATATTTATGACAAAATAAAGATTTAGGCCTTGTAAAAAATAGTAAAAACTCACTAATAACACCGCAAGAAACTTAAATTTAAACCTTTAGGCGTTTTAATTTCGAAAATATTGTTTGTTTGGCAGTTTGTTTATATATATATTTTATTATTATTAATTTTTTAGAGTGGATAATCTTGAATTATTGATATTCTTATACAATATATGATATTCATATTCATAGAGATAAGTTAAAAAATTTAATTTTCTAAGAATTTTATATAAAGAAGGTAAATTTAAAATAAACAAAGTAAATTGTATTTTATTGTATATAAATGTACTATACAATAATTTCTTTAAATGATACAATAAAATGAATTAATTCAATGATTTTAGATTGAATGTCGTATGAAAAATATCATTTTAGATTATATAAAAGAGGATATTTTGAAGTGTAAGACGTAAGAATAGTATTAAAGGATTTCTTTGTATATAGGGAATAAGTACTATATACAGTGAGCTTTCAAAGAACTGAGCTAAATCATTCGCTATATCAAGAATTCGCTACATACATAAAGAATATCAGTTTAACAGAATTGTTTACTATATCGAGTCTACTATAATTATACAAATATGCATTTACTTAGATAAAGATGTTAAAAATGTAGGCATAGAAATAAGTGAATTTTAGGGACGATCAGATGAAAAATATTCCTCCTTAACCAAAAATTAAGAAGTAAATTAATTAAATATAATAACGTGTATGAAAATATCTTAATTTTCGTCGTATTGTTGTAATGGGAACGTTGAAAATACACAATACAACGATACCTCGATACGCTATTTCATATAATTTGTGGAATTAACTACGATGCGATTTATTTCTTAAAATTATCCAAAATTTCTAATGGGACTATATAAATTTTGGACAAAATTTTCTTTTAAAATCATTCAAATTGTCTTTAAAAATATCGAAATGGTAATATTCTATACGAAGTCTCTATCACTATAACATAAAATATATGTTTAAACCTAATTAATAATCTGAATAAACTCGATTTTATTTGAGAAATTTAAATATTTAGTCAAATTAAATAGAAATCCGAAAAAGGAAATACTAAAATGCCACAAAAATCCAATAGCTAGCAAAACATAAAAGATAACGATCCTTCAAACTATTATGGCTTATGTAATGGATATTACATTGGCCTTCATATTCAGTGAAACGTAATTGGATTGCATATGGATTGTTATAGGTCTATATGAGTCCAATTTCGTGAAAACTCTTTAGAAGCAAACAATAAAGTGGCTCGTGTTTGTGAAAAAGTTTGTAAACGAATAACGCATGATAGGATCAATATAAATTTTCTTCAGGTAATAGATTTCTTTCTAAATTTCTTGAATATCGTTTATTGTCTTAAAATATAAAAAAAAAATACTTCCGATAAAAGTATTCTACACTTTTTGCGATTAAATAAAAATTTAGATCTTTAAAAAAATGTTTATATTTTTCTCAAAAATATATATACATACATATCTACTGTTTGCTTCTTCAATTAAAACCATTAAAACTTAGATATATATACAGTCAAACTTCGTTATAGCGCTTATTTAAATGATAAATAGAGAACATTTTACCATTTGTATATTAATAAATATATGATTTTGAATTACAAGCGACATTTTTATCACCAAATTACTCCACTTTTAAACCCTCAAACTGAATTTTGTAAATCATATATATAGCCTATATGTATAATTCTTGTTGTTAAACCATTTCAGTTTAATGCTACACACTATTTAGTACAGCAAACAAATGGTGCACTATATTGAAGTCTGAATATATTGTAAATGATAGACTATATCCAGTGTAGAATTTTTCACATTAACTAAACAAACTTCAGCTTAGACCATGTGCTATAAATTTACAACTTAAGGTTTCGCTCTTTTAAATTATTATTATTATTATTATTTTTTTTTTTTTATAGAAAAAAGGCCTCTTATACGTTATAGTTTAAAGACCTGAACAAGTCTAAATTAGGCCTTGATGTTAAATGTTATCAAATATATACAGTATATAGGCTTATTGCTTTATATAGGCCTATTCTTAGCTTCTTAATTATCAAGTTTGTTGAATAAATTGACAATTAAGAAGCTCAAAAAATTAAAAACATATTCTTAAATTCAGCAAGCTTTCGATTTAATTAATGAACTAATTGAGGGAAGAGGTATTCGCTGTTGCCGAATGTCTATTAAATCGAATGTATTTTAAAAACATACATTAATAACGAACATATAGTGTGCGGGATGTATGAAAATATTATTATAATGTACAGTACATTGAGTAATTTATACTCATTAAACTCATTGACCCTTTAGCATACCCTATTACATAAAAACAAATTTCGGTTTCCTTTAGGACAGAAATTTTTTTCTCCGTTAAATAGAAGAGTATTAAATCGAGGGCCTAATGTAATTTAATTAGGTGTTGAGAAGAATATGATGTATTTACCTAGAGACATAGTAAGATTTATTTTTTATATTTGTGTTACTTATAAATGCTTTTATATGATTCTAATGTGCAGTTTTGAACTGCAAATTTAGGAGTAAGCATCATATGAGAATAAATTCAGTGTATTCAGTTCAATTTCCTGACCGAATGAAATCTGATTTAACTCAATATTATAACGTGTTATAACTTTGTGCTTTTAGTTGTTGTATTTCAATTTTACATCAAATAGGGAATTCCTCAAGGGAATAATTCAATTTTATGTTTCGTTTTTAGTTATTTATATGCCAAATACTTAATTTTAAATTACAGTTGATTTTTATAGACGATTTTTTTTATGGTAAAAATTATTATATTTTGGTTTTGTCAACTTTTTTTTTTTTTTTAAATTTCAGACGTTTTCTTGCCGTAATAATGTCGATAATGGCAAGAAAAATAACTTATTTATTAAATTGTATTCATTTTATAGTACAATAATTAATTTTCCTGAATATGCAGCAAGAAAAATATACCTAGAGATTTAGGATGTAAATTGTTTTATTAACTTTATTAATGTAAATAAAATATTATAAGATTTAGTCAAACTGTTTGCCTGTTCACTCTTCTAGGCCTATGCTTAAACAGATTTAGAAAAAATATTGACTTAATTAGACAGGCAGACAGTCAAACAGCTTGGATGTCGCATTAAGAATAGGTCTACAAAAATTAGTCTATACATAATAATGCTGTCTGAGAATTCTGTTAAACTTTATTTTAATTCTAAAATACTCGAAAAATTAAATAAAATAGAATTTATCAACTGTCCAAAAGCAGATTATCGTTCAGAACTCACAGAGAGTATATAATTTATTATAAAACAGCAACGCCCAAGTTAATTTGCTGCTACCAACTGCACTCCGCCCAAATTGTCATCTTCGATTATGCCCTTATTAAATCTGAAAATATCCTTATTAAATTTGAAATTATAATCTATCCCTTACACGTGATCAAAAATTAGATAGGTTAAAGGGTCGAGCCAAACAGTATACCCGCATGTCAATGTCACATAAAGCCTACTGCATGCTAGAGTTTAGTTCTGAGTCACATGTATTTAAATTGAAATAATTTGATTTTAATTCATATTTTAAAGAAATAATTTTCAATTTTTTTTAAATATAATTTTGTTGTGAAGAATGTTTTTATGGTTTAATTAGATCATTAGTTTTTAATCAGCTTTTGTCATAATTCAGATTTGCTGACTCTTCTCTACAGTATACAGGATCCTTCCCCACTCCCAATATTAATATATAATATAGGCCTATATTATTATTATTTGAGGATAAAGAGAGTATGACCTGGACTTCACATTAATTTAAGAGGGCTTTTTAATGTGTGTTGCTTATTTACTTGATGTATAAATTCGAGCTTGGATTATAGCTTCAGTCTTAATTGCAGAATAAAATTATTTCTAAAGTATAAAAGAAACCCAATTTTTATCATTTTTTTTTGTTTACTTTTAAAAAATCTATCTATATTCTTGTAATTCTTAAAATATAAATTTAAATAGTTTTAAAGTTATGGATATTATTATACTTGATTTGAACTAGATAAAAATATGAAAATAGAGCAATTCTCTATATCTTTCTTCATGTTTCTTTCAGTTATATATTAAATTTTCTATTCAAAAAACATTTTACAATCACAAAAATTAATAAGTTCAATTTGATTCCAATATCCAGTTTTTATATCATAAAATTTTTATTTATTAAAAATCCATTTCTCAATTCAAATGATTCACCGCAGTTATTCAAGAATGCATAAAATTTTATTTACTTATAAAAGAATATTCACTAAAAATAAATTTCATCGCATTTCGAATATGCAGAAAATTCTTGCTTTAGGTTTTAAATTCAAATATTATAAATATCATAAAACATATATTCATTATTTAAAGTTTACGACTATTTAATAGTAGGTTATATATATATATATATATATTAAATGCTTTAATAAAATATATAATGTTAAAACAGTAGAAAAATTATTATTGAAATTTGAATATATTAAGTAATTAAATGTCTAACGAAGATTTCTTTTCTACCAAACAGGTAAAAATTTGGTTTCAGAATAGGCGTACAAAATGGAAAAAACAGGATATTGTAACAGGTACAGATTCAAGCGAACATAAACCCCCAACTCCGAATAACATTAAAGGTAAAAGTGCCAAAACCAAGCCGGTCCCGATCAGTACATCGTCGTCGTCTGCAGTTGACAAGAATCCCCCTCAAGATATAAAAGTCAATGTTGCGACTATCCGAACAACAGATGCAACAGACGTTATGGTTGACAAGGATATTTCAAGGATAGAATCTAATAAAGTTGAAGACTGTGCATCTTATAAAATTAGGACACAATCACCGACTAGTCCAAGTGTCGAACAAGCCAATGAAGTTTCCAATGAATTTTTAAAACTATCCGAAAAATATCCGAACGATAAAGAAGCGATTGTACATACACAAACACCGAACGTAGATACAGAAGTACACTGACACAAATTAAGATGTAAATCAGCTATATATATATATATACATACATTTATATATATAAATATATATATATATATATATGCGGATTCATACGTAGGTTAACGTATGAATTACCTTTAAAAAAAAAAAAAAATACACTTGTGGATCATTTTCGATCAATGTTATCCACCACATCGACCAAGTTTGTTCTTTTTGGTGTTTCCATGGTTGTATTATATGAATAGTGCAAATATCTTTATAACAATATGAGGTTGAGTGCCTCTTATAATTATAAAACTGTGTCCGATAAAACATTAAAAGCAGCCTTCATATGTGTGAGTTATGTGTTGTCTACTAAAGAAATATGGCCAAGGTAGTGCGATTATAATCTCATTCACATGAGAATAAAGAATTTAATTTGTCAATATAAGTCTCGATTCTTTTTTAATATGTGACAATAAATTTATTTTCAATATTTTCGTTATATTTTGAAATTTTAATTTTAATTAGATCAAGTTTTAATATCTTATTTGTAGATTTTAAACTAAATAATATAAATATAGAATAAAAATTAAAAAAAATTATAACTAATTATTTTATATTAATACAAAATAATTAAAGCTTAATAATTCAGGACTATAAAATATTTTCAAATTTTAATCACGAATTAAAAATTCTTTACAATGACATTTTTAAATGAATAAAAATAGTTTAAGTTTGTGAAATTTAGTAAAAAAAAAAAAAAAAAAAAATAGTAATAATTATATAATAATTTGAAAAAAATGATGCTAATTTTTAATTAAAATAGTATATGTATTTATAAATTAAACTTATTTTGTTTCACTTTACAACATAACAACAACTTTGTCAATTGAAATTTTGAATGAAATGTAAACCTAAACAACAGTAAAAACTTTACAAATTGTACAGAAAAAAATAATAATAAAATAAATTGATTTCGTCATTTTAACTAGGAATTTGGTAAACTTCATAAACCACAAGTTTACATTTTTTGACGAAATAGTTCTTTAATGACGATATACATCAATTCACAACAGCACTTTTCTTACACTCTATTGTTAGAATCCTGAATTTTTATTTTCTCTGTACTTCTATACTTAGCTTTTTCTAGAACTACATTGGAAATCATATAAAATAATAAAAAAATTCAACAAGTTTTTTAAATTGAAACTTGTATTCATACAGTTTACTAAATCTTAGAAGTAAACAGACATTTAATACATCTATCTAAATGTTGATACACATATCGAATCAATGTCTAATACCGTAAGATTAAAAATAATTAATTATTGTTAGAAGAGAACACAAAAATTATAATTTTGACAAACTAATTAATTTTTTCTCGGGTGTTTTTCTTTTACAATTGAAGAAGAAGAAAAAAAAAGAGGAGGGAAAAAAAGAAGAAAAGATGCATCATTACTGTCAAATAAGTAGAAACAATTAGTAACTTCTGCAGTCTACTAGTCGAGACAAGTAGAGTATCACGTTCGATTGTGGCTTCAGCTAGAGACATGTCTCCGCCTTTTCCCTGTATTCCTAGCTTGGTTCTGAACGGAATGGAAGAGTTGAGGCAATAGCATTACTCTGCTAACCATCCCAGTTATTGGTCTAATTTCAGTCTACCACTCCTCTAGGGCAACTTAACTAGAGTCATTTCGTTGTTGTTTAGGTCAGTAGTAGTTGTTACAAACAGCTTTCCACTCCAAACACCGCAATTTTCCACTCTGCAATGAAATTAGCCTACATTTCTAGGAAACAAATGCGCAAAGTTACAGCAAAATATTTTTAAGTTAACTAGATGGAGGTTATTAACTCTAATTATAACAGTCAAAGAATTAGGTTTAGGTAAAATTATATATTTTTTTATTTTTATAGGAAAGTTATATATAAAATGTATTAAACAATTAAAAGAAATTATTATTTTATTAAAAATTAAATATAAAAGAAATCAACGTTGTCTTTAACACAAAGATGGCCGCCAGAGATGTCTTTACTCATTCCCGCATACGATTAATTNAACCATCAAAAATTCCTGACGCTTTTGGACCGCCAAGATTCGATTTCGGGTCCCCCCAAAGTGTTAAGTTATAACTTAATTATGTATTATTTTAATGCCTAGATGCCCTAGCCTTAATTATTACATATAAAAATTTTACATCAGTAGCCTGAAAATTTATAGTAGTAATATAAAAGATTATTTATAATGTAAATAAAAGCATATTACTACTTTGTTAACCGTTAATCCTGTAGTTTACTTCTATAAAATTATAATAATGGCATCAATAAATTTAACTAAATGGTTAAAAATTCAATTATAATTATAAATATTTTGTTATACAGAAATTACTTAGCATTGTTCTATTCTAAATGATAAGTGTAAACTCCCTTTGCAATCCCATTAAATGAAGATTTTCTTAAATTTCAGCTAATTTATATTTTTTAAAATCATATATACATAATTAACATAGAACTAAATTTTTTTATTACCAATACTGATATAATTATAGGTATTACGTGGTACTTTTAGTGCCCTATGTGCCCATGGTTAATGATATGGTGTGTATCACGTGATAAAAGTCATTAACATAGTAGAACTAGGTCGTAAATGGTGTTCTGTCTGAAGTGAGCAAACTGTGAGTTGCAACCATCATTCATTGGTAGACGACATGCTACAGCTGCCCCCTGTTGACATCGAGCCGAACTATGGGTGTGTCTGACAGATTGTTGATGGGTTCGAGTTCCACACGCCGATAATAGAAGAGTCTGACTCGCTCTATTTACTAATCAATGGAACTTAATGTAAGCGTATCTTAATGTGTGTGGTTACTATTACATCAACAAAGAAATAAATATAGCAAGATTTTACTTCCTAACATAATAGAGGAAGTAGCTTTCTGACTTGTTTTTCGATAAAGAAACAAAGATTTTACTTTGTAAACATTCAATAAATTAATTTAATTTAATATTTTTTTATTATTAAAAAAGAAAACATTTTTAGAATTAATAATTTAAGCTTTATCAATGAGATGTGTAACTAACAAGTTGGCCTAAATACAAGATTCACTTATATAATCTTACACTTAAGCTTCTTATATTAGTAATTTAAAACTCTTTTAATTAATAAATTGATAAAATTAATAATTAGTCTAATTCTAGAAGCGAATAACTGATAATTATGACGTCAATACATGTAATAATTATAAGAAGATCGTTTAATTTTTGAAAATCGAAATGAAGTAGAGGGTTCTCTGTCATACAAGCCAAACTGTTTTGCTTCACCAACTAATGTTACAGTCAATAGTGGTGTTTACTTCAAGTTACCAATCGATGGGTTCGTGATCCCACGTTCAGATAATGTGGTTGTAAGTGGATAATTACGTGGAAGATCATCAGTCTACTCACAGCATTAGCAGACATGGATTGCGTGAGACATTGTTGAAAGATACTCTTATGTGAAAAAAAAGAAAAAAAAAAAACAATGAAATTAATACATAATATTATTATCTATAGGATAACACGAGACTTAATTTGTGATTGAAGACTTAAATAAATTATTCAACGACACAACTATTTATAAATTGCTATGGTTTGAAGATCTCATTTTGTACTTAACAGATTCTTTTCTAAATTGGGATTCGTACAGAAAAAAAAAGCAAACGAGACTATTATTGTACCTTTTTGACAAATATACGATGAGGACTTTTGTGAGTTCCCTCAGAAAGGCCTCTTAATCATTTTTAAATAGGCCTCTTCTCATTAGAATTTCAAAGTTTTCAAACAAATTATTTATTTATTAAATGTTAATTAATGAGAAATTTATGATTATAATTAATTATTTTTCCCATAAATTTGTATGGTTTTTTTTTTGTTTTTTTTTTCAATAGATTTTCTTTTTAAATCATTATATATTTATTAACCTTAAAATGTATCTTATTTATTAAGATAATTATTAAATGATTTTCAACGTTATAAATATTATAACTGAATTTTTAAAATTTCAAATAAAATTATCCAACACTTTTATATATATATATTTAAATTATGAAAAATTCATTTTAAAATAATTTTCCGACATTTTAATTTAATAATTGTACGTTTCATTTATTTCTAAACAGCATTCTTCAGTATGTCTGTTCGTTTATCGATACAACTTCTAACATTTTTAATACATTGATTTACCCATTAAACATTTATTACGATAAAAAATGTATATTTAAATTAAATTTTTAATATTTTAAACAAAATTATCTAATATATATATATTTTTTTATATAGTTTTTATCAGTTTAAATTATTATTATTTCAATATTTAATAACTGTAGAAACTTAAATCTTTTTCTCGTTTATTTTTAAACAGTATTGTCTGTCTGTTTGTTGATACAATTGTCAACATCCGTTATTTTTTTTTTAAAATATTTTCTCTTATATCCAACAGTTACAAAAATTTACAATATATATATATATATAAAAGGAGGATATTTATCGTCCCACTTTTTGTCGAGGTTTTGTACTTACAACGGATTGCTTTTGAAATTAATAGTATTTTATCTTAATTTATTGCTCTACTTTAAGACTTCATACTGATTTTTTTATTTTTCCTTTCCAACTTATTTAATCATTATGACTTCCCTACGGACCAATTCCGAGAAGGACAATAAAAAAGCAGTTATACTTATTAAAAAGCAATTTATTTTGTGATATTTCTTTTCTCTTTAATTTAATGATGTTACTATGGAAACACCACATTTAATTTTTTTTTCTCTCTCTCTCTCTCTTTTCATTTTTTTTTCTTTTTTACGTTGCTTCTCCGATCTTATCAACACCAGGCTTAATAGCTTATGAGAACGTGTTAATGGATAATTTAACGAGCCTTTAATTTTTATTTATTAAGGTAATAATTAAGAAATTGATATAGTAAAAAAAAAACTATTAAAGGTTCAGAGATTACGTTATTTAAGTTCTTATTTATTAAATTCGTTAATTAATTTGAATTAAAAAAAATAGTAATAAAAAAAACTTATATAATTTTTTTTAATTAAATATTTTAAAAATATTTTATAATTAATTGCTATTTAATTTCTAATTTTTTTTTACTTTTTTAATTGGAAGAAGTTTATTGCGTGTAAACGTGTTTATTTAATTTTATTAAATTGTTTAATAAGTTATAAATATAATTTTTTGTGTAAAAAAATTTACATTTTAAAGTCTTTTATTTACGTAAAAAGTTGGTATTTAAAATAAAAAAAAAAATGGAAGGAAAAAGAAAAAATAAAAAATAAAAGTAGAATAAATAGGTCTACTTACAAAAAATTCTTTCGTATGAAATAGTAACAGAAAGATATTCTGTAATGGTTG